TTTCGTCTACCCATGTTCTACCCAACATATTTGTAGATATAAAATACATATACAGTTTAACTCATTTAAAACCTATATAAAACATCCATTCCACACCCATCTCAAATAATCAACAATATATAAACACATAGCACGTATTTCATAGCAAATACTTCATATTTATGTGTTAGAAGAAAGTGACTACACACTCATCCAAAACATATACTTAATACATTCAAACAATACTTGTATTAAAATCGGTTTATGAAAGGGACTATACACTCACACATATAAACAACATAATATATATATATATATTATATATATATATATATATATATAATATATATAAACACATAACACGTATTTCATAGCAAATACTTAATATTTATGCGTTAGAAGAAAGTAACTATACACTCACTTGATCAGAAGATGATCGGACAACACTACGGCTCTAAGAGTAGTATTTCTTCGGTGAAACTAGAAGATCTTCACACACCGGGCTTCTCGCAGGCAAAGCTTCGGCTCGGAAACTCTTTTCTTCTCGGGATCTTCAGGCTTCGGGACTTGCTTCGGGTCTCGGGATGATATCGGGGCTTCGGGGGGTTAAAATAGGGCTTAGAGAGGGTATCGGGAGTAGGAGAGTAAGAGATGAGCAACCAAACTCGGCTGCCCCTTGAATTCTATTTATAGGGTGAATTTTCTGGGTTCACCTCGTGAGTTTCTAATATTCACCTCGTGAGCTAGGCTCACCTCGTGAACTACATATGTTCACCTCGTGAGCTCGATACGTCATTGCGTTCGTCATGGCCACTTGCCCTGGAAGATGTCCATCATCTGTTCACCTCGTGAGTCACTAATGCTCACCTCGTGAACTGACTCACCTCGTGAGCCACATATGCTCACCTCGTGAGCTCTGACACAGCCTTGGGGTTCACGCCCCGAACTTCAGAAATTCATAACTTTCGCATACGAGCTCTGTTTTCGACGTTCTTTATATCCACGCGTAGGTGAGATTATGCTCTACAACTCTCGTTTAGACTCCGTTGGCTAATTTGGAATTTATTTTTATTATATTTTTATTATATTATTTTTAGTAGGTCGGGACAGGAAAACTCCGTTAGAAATTCATAACTTCTTCATCCGACGTCCGTTTTCGTCTGTCTTTTTACCGTTGCACTACCATTGACGAGATCTTAGATTCTCGTTTAGATTGTTTCGGCTAAAAACCGCTCGATCTCAAATCGAGTATTTGGGCTGCACACTGCTAAGTCGAAACTTCGGAAAAATCATAACTTCCTCATACGAAGTCAGATTTGGGCGTTCTTTTTATGCACGCTCTCGGTTTAACTAATCCTACGACTTTCGTTTAGATCGCTAAGGCCAAATATCGCTCTAACGTAAATTCACTATTTACGTCGCGCTGTGTCGTGCCGGTTCTGTCGCGAAACTTCGACAGGTCATAACTTCTTCGTTATAACTCGGATTTCGGCGTTCTTTATATTTTTGGAAACCTTGAGACATATACTACAACTTGGTTAAGATTAATCCTTCTAAATAATCTTCCATCAAAAAGTCATTTTTGATGCTTATCGTCTCTAAATTGACTAGCCCGGATCTACGGGCGTTACAAATATACTATCGAATTCCTTTTATGTTGGATGTTTATATTTGGTAAAAGATCAAATTTAAAATAAAAACCACTGATTTAATGGTTTTGATGCAGGTAATTTCGGCTATGAGATAAATCCTTTAAGTAATCAAAACTAAAATGGCGCTATTTAGGAACTTGATGGTCAAATGATGCGGTATTTTCCTAGGCGGGAAAATAGAGTGTAAAGCTTTAGTGGATTGACATGTGGCAAGCAATAGGATGCAAAAGAGGACACGTGTCCTTTTAAAGACTTTTTTATTAAGAATATATATATACTAGACGAATTCTCGCGCGTTGCGCAGCAAAAATTAAAAATATATTGTTAAATATTAAAAAATATATGTTTAAAATGGTTATGTTATTGACATTAACTTTGAGATAACCATGTTTTTTTTCGTACACATTTGACCAATAAACTTGTTTGACTTGTTCATAATAAGGTAATATTACCGTAATTACCAGTCATATTACCTTATTTTGAACAGGTCAAACAAGTTCAATGGTTAAATGTGAACGAAAAAAACATGGTTACCTAAATATGAACAAAGACCGAAGTTGGTTACATTTCTAGGTCATTAACCCTTTGTTTAATTCTATGGAAGTCAAAGAAAAGAAACAGATGACATGTCTTATTATCATATGTATATATATATATATATATATATATATATATATTATATATATATAATCTCAATTATTTTGAACAATAATATTCATTGACATCAACCCGCATTCCTCATTAATAGAATTAAATATAATTATGTATTTAGTATTATTTTTAACAATTATTAATATTGATTAATTATATTGTTACTTATGCGATCATTTTTTAATTTCAATAATGATGTTTATTTGAAATACAATTTATTTATAGCTAAATGTAATTTATAATTTGATGTTATTATCATTTAAAATTGTTATTTATTAATTTTAAACCACTTATTATTAATAATAAGTTAAAGAAGACTTTTAAGAAACTTTTATAATTATTATTAAAATGTGAAACATACACTAAATAATAAAGTGATAAGATAAACAATTTGCATTTCAAAAGAGACTTGCATGGATAATATTACATATCCATGTAATTTGATTTTATTATTTATAATTATTGCTTATTAATTTTAAAACCACTTGTTATTATTAATAAGTGAAAGAAACTTTTAAAAAGCACTTATTATTATAATTAAAATGTTAAACATATACTAAAATATAAAGTGATAAGATTGACAATTTGCATTTTAAAAAAGGCCTACATGGATAATATGAATAATATGACATATCCATGATTTTTAATTAATTATTGTTTTGAAGCAACATGAACATACAAACATGTATACAATAGTTAATCAAATATTATATATATGACCTTCCATAACATATGATCGATAACATTAATCTAATCTAATTTACATTAAAATTTCAACCACAACATACAATTATATTCTTAAAAGAATACTTAAATCAAGAAATACAAAAAGAATTAGTATATAACAAACTTACAAATTAAAAACTTCAACATAATAACATGGCTCGAAAAATTGTTCAAAGCCCTCAAACCAACACAAAAAACTTTAAACTTGCTTTCTTTGTGACTTTTGTATGTGATTTGTATTTGTGTGTCTACTCAAAAAGATTGATCTTTTTATAGTAGAGTATCCATTAATTTTTTATTAAATATATTATATAAGTTATAAAACCTTTGAATTGTTAATCATTATTAAGAGACTTTTGAGTAGTATTCATTAAAATAGGAGGTTTCAAATGCATTAGGTGTTTGCAAATTTTTATGGGGGTTTCAAATGCATGAGGTTCAAGGGAAAATGCTAGCTTTATAAGTATGTATGATATATATATATATATATATATATATATATATATATATATATATATATATATATATATTAAATGCATATATAAATTCATAAATAAACAACAACAAAATGTTGTATACACATTAAATATATTAAATACAATATGCTAGGAAGTTAAACATGAAAGCTCATTCAACTTGGTGGCTGAGACGCTCCTTTGCTTAGCGGAAGTCCGGGAGTTTGAGTCCGTCTTACCCCTTTCTAGCTTGCCCTTGCATTTTTCTTTCGTTGGTTAGTAGGTAAAACTAGGGCTGTAAATGAACCGAACGAACACGAACAAAAGTTTGTTCATGTTCGTTCGTTTAAGTTAGCCGAACAATCGAACGAACACGAACGGATAAACGAACGGAGTTTTCTTGTTCATGTTCGTTCGTTTAACAAATTGTCTTGTTCATGTTCGTTCGCTTATGTTCGTGAACATGCTAAACGAACATAAACGAACAAAGATAAACAAACACAATTGAACATATATGAACATAAACGAACTATAATATAGTAATGTAATAAAAAAAACAATAGAAAATATATTAACATAAAAAAACTTAAACGAATGAACATAAACGAACGTAAACGAACAACATAAACGAACGTTCACGAACGTAAATGAACGAACGAGACCATTGTTCATGTTCGTTCGTTTAACTAAACGAACGAGAATTTGTGTTCATGTTCGTTCATTTATTAAATAAACGAACATAAACGAACTTCCCGCCGAACAGTCCACGAACGGTTCGCCGAACGTTCAGTTCCTTTACAGTCCTAGGTAAAACTGAACCAAATTTCCAATATGTTAGAACATTAAGGTACCAAAAAACAGATTTTGGACAAAACCGAATATTCTACGTAAAATTGGAGGCTTTTATAGCAATAAACCAAATATAATTAATATTTACACGTTATATTTAACTTTTTTTTATTCAACCCGTCTAGTAAGGTTCTCACACTTATCATCATAATCAATCAATATAATTTTTTTAATCCGTCCATTTCTCATTGACCGAGCAGATTTCATCCACTTTTCAAGACCATAAATCAAGTTCTCAGATTTAATGACGATCTCATCAAGTCTTCGATCATAATAGTAACTACGTCTTCAATAGTTATATTTGTAGCTTCATGCCTTCATGGGTTGTACCCCATTTATATATGCCTTCAGAAAGGATACATGGCAAACATTATCACAATTTATACCAAACGAATAAGACAGTTTGAAACGAATATATTCAAAATTCATACGATGAATATGTTTATAATTTCGAACTAGGTTAGAAACTCATAATAAAATTCAAATTTTCAAATTTTACTAGAAAAATCAATTTTTAAATTATTTTCTTGTTTTAAAAACTCATTCATAAAATAGTTTAAAAATCTTAAAATCATAATTTTTCGAAAATGATATAATTTTTTAACCCGGTATTTTGTTGAATAACGTGTATATTGCGAAGGTTCGGATAAAACTATGTCCGATATTTCGTCTCCGTATATACGCGGCGAGAATATGTTCCTGACGCGTTATACTCTTTCCATTTAAACTCGAATTCCACCCACCAACAGTCCAACACCATCGTCTCTACTCTCTATAATGGCTCAAACAAGCTATGCCTACCCTACGACGCATATGGCGAATCCGGTCGCCGTCGTTGGCCCTCACTTCCTGGCTCCGTATCCGGTAGATCTAACCATCGTCAGGAAACTGCTGTCTCTCTCCGACGGAAACTTCGCCGTCACCGACGTAAACGGCAGCGTTATGTTCAAAGTTAAAGGCAAACATTTAAGTCTTCGCGATCGCCGTGTTTTGCTCGATGCTGCGGGTAATCCGATCCTATCTTTCCAGAAAAAGGTTCTGATCTCTCGTCTCTTTGTTTCCCCTCTATTAACTTTCATGCTCCTTTTATATTCCAGTATTACTTCAACCCTAAAAGCCAAAATTGGACTTTACTTCCCAACAGGAGCTAGTATTAGTTCAGGAGTATAAGATAATCTAAATACCTTGATTGTTATGAGGTGATCAATGATCGGAAAAGCCGATTTGGGGAACCTTTAACACTGTTTGATCTGTTAATTTTCTCTCTGATGCTTTTACCAATTTCAACCGTTATCGATAAAATATAATACAAATCTACTCACCTTTACATGAATTGAGTCGAAGTTTCTACCTCTGCTATTTTGCCAATGAATTGTCATCATTTGTGTTCTTTGAAATGTTGCGAAGGTCGAAGGGTAACTAACGAAATCAGTGTTAATTGTATTGTTGGTATTATGAACAGCTGCTAAGTGTTCACAATAGATGGGTGGTGTTTAGGGGAGATAGTTCAGACGCAAAAGACATCATCTTTAGTGCAAAACAGTCTTCTTTAATCCAATTCAAGACTTCCCTTGATGTGTTCTTGGGGTTTAACGAAAAGGAAAATGTCTGTGACTACAAAGTCAAAGGCAGCTGGTTTGACCGATCATGCACCATTTATGCTGGTGAAACCACCACCATTGTTGCTCAGGTACACCCTATTTTCATCTTGACACAAAATGTTCATGTTGCATTAAGATTCTTAAGGGGGAGATGGGTAATTAAGCGTAAGTAGTGGGTTATAAATGTATTATTAAGACTTTAACACATGATTGCAAAAATGGTGAAATGCAGATGCACAAGAAGCACACTGTCCAAAGCATTGCACTTGGGAAAGATACGTTTTCTGTGACTGTGTATCCAAATGTCGACTATGCCTTCATTGTTGCACTTGTTGTTATCCTCCATGAAATCAACGAAGAAAAGAATGATACTGAGTAAATTTGTTCATAGTGTAAATGGATAAACAAACACTCTGTAATTTTACGTTTTTGTATCATATGTATACCCACTTTTGAAAGCAGTTAATCAAACCAAAAAACATGAATCAAAGTCGAATACTTTGATTCATGTTTTTTGGTTTAATTAAGTGTGTTATAATTTGAATTTGGTTTGACTTTTTATAATTTTTTGTAGATTTTGACCATAAATGTTTTAGCCCCTAAGGTCTTCAACTTGTGAATTTTTCCATGATTTAAAAATTTGAACTTTGGGATAATCACTAAAAGGACCAAAATAGGAGGTTTTGTATCATAACGCATTTTGTTAAAAAGGACTTTGTTACTTGCTAATTAGGAAACGGGTTATCCCCTCTTAAAAAATTTTGTTTGATATGAATTTTTCTCAAATTCTCTAGTTTGTAAGCTTTTTTGCGAACGATATGTTCAAGTAAATGATATCAAATCAAGTAATACTTTTTGTATACCGGTATTTGCCAAAATAAATTACTTTTTTGGTAGATATCGGGAATTGAAATCATCCATTTCATTCTCCCTTTCATTAACGCATACCAAACGGACATAATTAGACTTGAAAAATGAAAATCATCATTTCTCCCATGGCTACCAAATACTACAAAAAAACATCAAAAAAATGCATGAAAAACATACCTCTAAGATTACACGACAAACCACAAACTGAAAACCTTGAATAAGATCAAAATCTCCCCCTTGTTTCCTTGAAATCTAAAATTTCCCTCCTCCTCCTTTTGAGTTAGAAAATAAATAAGAAGCCCTAACAGGTTCTTTTCTTAGACCAAAGATAAAAGCAAACCAAGTCCACTAAATTTTACATTTTAAGGAAACCATATATAATAAGAATGTACTTCAAAGGTTTCAAGATTACCTTATTTAAATTTATTATTTATACACCTCCAAAATTATTGACTTTACATCTCATACCCTATTCACGTTGTAGTGGTTTTAATATTAAAATTAATCGGTATTTATTCTCAAAATATCAAAAAATATAACTCTCCCCACTTAATATGATTCCATCCTTAGAATCTCTATAATATCTAAACTTAAGGATAGAATCCCTTGTATTTTTATCTTTCTCCCAAGTAAGGTTTGGTCATCCAATATACTTTGACCTCATGGAAACAAAGTCTATCTCTTTCTTTCGCATATTTTCGTCTTATGTTTCATGATCGATTTGGCATAACTAACCGTTTTCCTTTCTCCACTTTGAAATCTTCAAGTGTATCACGACTTTCTCACTGGATTATTTCGCAAGAAGCACATTCGAAACATGTTCATTCTCTCCGGGTCTGATGGTAACTTAAGCATGTAAGCTTCACATAAAATCTTCTTCAGCATTGTAAAAGGCCCAATGGAACACAGACTTAGATAGATTATGATACTTCCCAAATTGAATTAGCCTATCCCATGGAAACACTTTCATCAAAACCAGATCATCTTCAAAATTTATTCTCGAATAACTTTCACTTTATTGATCGTCTTTTGTACCAACTATGGCTCTGAGTACCGTCTTTCCCTTATATTTAGTTATACTTTAATTTCATGGAAACCAAGTCTAATGCTTCCTTTCACAATTTTTTATGCTTGATTGTCAATGTAACTAAACGCTTTCCATTATCCACTTTGAAATTTGCAAGTAAATCACAGCTTTCTCACTAAATCATTTCAAAAGTAGCACACTCGAAACATGTCGTGTAGTCCCTCCAACTCTAATGGTAACTCAAGCGTGTAAGCTTCATATCAAAATCTACTTCAGCATTGTAAAATGGCCCAATAAAACATGAATTTAGATACATTATGATACTTCCCAAATTTAATTAGCCCAACCCGTGGAAAACACTTTCATCAAAACCCGATCACCTTCCGAACTTATTCTCAAATAACTTTCACTTTATCGGTTGTCTTTTGTACCAAATCTGTCCTAAGTAGCGTCTTTGTAACGACCCTAAAATATCAAACTATGTGTTATTAGATTTATTTAGTCTAAATTCATTCAAAGGTGAACTAAAGTAGTGACACGACAATGCTTTTGGCAATGAGTAGTGAAACATAAATGTTTTTGTTTTTTTTTTGTTTTTTTGTTTTTTGTTTTTTTTTTGTAATGTAGTATGTATATCCTTGTACTTATTGCATTATAACAAAACACTCATAAGTTTTTAACAAAATATTATATAAAGAAAGTTGTAGTTCACTCCGAAACGGTTCCGTGGATATACAGTTTTTTAAAATCCGAGTTTGTATGAAGAAGTTATGATTGTTCGAAGTTAAGATAAGATTGTTGCGAGAAACATGGCGAGTGACACCTTGATGTGGCGCGTCAACATGGTTGGGTGGTAGGACACGTAAAGTAAGAGTGGAACACGTGTCACAAGGTGAGGCACGAAGCAGATTTTGGGCGTGACACGTGGACGCGGTGCGCCCACTTACCCAACGTGACGCGTAGGCCATTTTCACAACCCAGTATAATAGCTCGAAATGCTTCTCAGTTATAAGTCTCTCCGACTGAAGTTATAAATGTCCGAGTAGTGACTCATAGATAAAATATGTGAATAACGATGTTGATTACGATAATACACTTGTAGAACGAGATAAGGCTTTGGCAAGGTAATAAGTTGAAAAGCAGTGTCGAGCTTGAGGTGACGACATTAGTTAGTCTCCACTAACTAGTAAGGTGAGTGCATGAGAATTTGTTGGATACATAGAAAAGTAAACGATTTTATGAGAAATATGAAAGTAAGTTATTTATGTGAAATTACTTGCTATTAAATCTTTATGGATTATGGATTCATTAGAAAAAGAGTACTGCCAACAGTTCAATAAGAAAGATTAGTATGTTATATATGTGTTGATTGAGATTGGATTACTCGTGGGGAGTTTTCATGATTATGATTATATGTTAGGAATACCTTCGTATTATAGGTTCCCATGAGAGAAACACAGTACTCAGTTCCCATGAGCGGGAACACATTGGTAGGTTCCCATGAGAGGAACATACTAGTAGCTTCCTACGAGAGGAACATTGGAACATAGTAGTAAAGGAACACAATAGTAGGTTCCCATTAGAGAAAAACATAGTAGCAGGTTCCCACGAGAGGAACATAATAGTAGGTTCCCATAAGAGAAACATATTAGTAGATTCCATCAAGAGGAACATAGTAGTAGGTTCCCACAAGAGGAACACAATAGTAGATTCCCATGAAAGGGACAAGTAGTAGATTCCCACTAAAGAAAAAAATAGTAGGTTCCCATGAGACGAACATATTAGTAAATTCCCATGAGAGGGGCATAGTAGTAAGTTCCCAATAGAGGAACAAAGTAGTAATTTCTCATGAGATGAACATAATTATAGATTTCCATGAGAGGAATAGAATAGTAAGTTCCCATAAGAAACAAAGTAGTAAGTTCCCTTAAGAGGAACACAGTTATAGGTTTCCATGAGAGAAGCATAGTGAAAGGTCTCAGTAATGAGACATAACACAATAAGAGGTCTCATAAATGAGACACAATACAGTAACAAAAACCCTTCTACAAATAATTTATAAACATGATTTCTCGATCTCAGACAAATTGATAAAGGAATCTTACCTTTTTGTAATTTATTCACATATACCTTAGATAGCCTTTCCACTAACCAAGTGTCATGTGCTACCAAGAAATGCATAATCTTCGTTAACAAATCAACTATCATCAAAATCATGTTATGACCTTTCATAGTTTAGGCCACTTCATAATAAATTCCATTCACAAATTATCACATTCACCCACTATAAACTCTAAGGGAATTAAGTTATTGTACGACTATTAATGTTACATTTTCACTCGAAAACAAGTTTTATGTTTCCTAATGTACTCATCCTCGTCAGTTTTCGTCGCTAGAAACCAATAGTACGATCTAAAATCTAAGTACTTATCTAGAAGAAAATCGTGTGCATATCAAATACTTACATATGACTCTACAATGTTTCTAGGAAACAACTATCATATTCAAATGTTAGTGGTTTATTCAGTTTATCTTTTTTTTTCATCCAATAAGACCTTAATTTGAGCCACTTTAATCTTTTTAATCACAGTCGAAACTACTTTAACTTCTAGAGTTTCCTTCCTGCTCAACTCGTTAGTTGATACTCTTCTCTTAGGTCCTTTTTTTTCAGTGCAGGAGAGCGCTCTCTTTTCGTCATCCCTGCTGCTTTCCTTTCCAGACTTTTTATTGAATGCATGGCGTAGCTAGGAAGTTCACTGTTGTACAAGGATCCACACAACTTGCATATTGTGACTAACATAACTTACTTCATACTCCATCCCCACAAGATGTGCAACATGAGGTCTAAGTCAAGTACAACGTTGAGTCTAAACAAAAATCATCCATGTAAGGTATGGCGTAGGTTACAAGTCAATTTAACAGCATGTTATGTATCTTTCATGTAGTGACTTCGCAACATGGTATATGGTCCTATTTCGTAACACTTTCAGAATGGTTGCATTGTAAACTTTCATCAAAGATCATTTTACAACCAATGTTTGCACCTTTCACTTCATAACTTTCTCAATGACACCAACATGGATTAAGGATTTTTTTAATGACTATACCAGTGTTAATTTTATAAACAATCATATACAACACATTTATGCATAGGTACAATTCTTGAAAGCTTATTATACAGTCCTCATGTTTTCACAACTTAACCACTTATTTGTGGTTATAGGTTACTAATTGAGTGTTCCTAAACCTTACTTTTGAAGGTTGTGCTCAAAATTAATAGGATTAGCATGTTCGAAATCATGAAAATTCATATTCTTTTAGAAAAAGAAAACATCATCCAAACTGTTTTTTTAGGAGTTCTAAAATTAAATGGATCAAATATTTTTAAGAATGTTGATCATTTGGCTTTCTCTAGAAAAGCTGAGAGAGAAGACGTGAACCGTGCTCACAGCACGTCTAGGGTTTAATTTGGGAACGGTCTAAAACCTAAGAAGGAAGAGCATAAGTGAGACGTCTTTGTGCAATTCAATGGTGTCAGGTATGCATAATAGTGTTTGTAATTGCAAAATGAAAAGAAGCAGTAGTGTAAACTTAAGCATCTGGGTATGGTTTTGAAGTGAATAATCATTGTTGAAGGACTCCACGATCTATAGTTGATGATTTTGAAACAAATAACACTTATCAGCAAACGAAGTTAAAAAACAGTAGAGATCCTGGAACATCAGAGATGAAGTTAATGGATATTTTAGTGATTTTATGGAGTAATATGTGAGTAATTAGGAGTAATAAGCAATGTTTTAAAAATCGATTTTTTAGTTGAACCGGTATGGTGACCGGTTTCCAGTTCAACCGGTTCGACCGCCGGGTCAACCGGTTTCTATAATTTTCATCTTTTTTTTCTATTTTTCTACACATACATAAATATATAAATCATGAATTTGACGTTTATTAGTTCAAAAATTAAAAATATACATAAAAATAAGTTGTAGATCAATCTAAATACATTAAAATAACACATAACCATAAGTTTTAGTGTTTTACATCAATCCATATACGTCAAATATATATATATATATATATATATATATATATATATATATATATATATATATATATATCAAGGTTGTAAAAATCGTTTGACGGTAGCTTGACGGTCGACTGGTGTTAAGGGATTAATCGGTCATGGCGGGGATTAATCGAGGATTAATCGGGCACCATAAATTATTAATAAAGTATTAAAATTAATTAAATATTAATATATCTTAAGAAAAACAAGTACTTCAAAATTAGAAAATAAGAAAAATTATAATTTGGAAATACGAAAATATGAACATTTTGGTATAATATTTGAAATTTTAAAAATTTGAAAATTTTGGAGTAAAAAAAAAGTTGGTAGTTTGAATTTTTTTTGACTTTTTTTTGACTTTTTTCAACTTTTTTGACTTTTGTTGACTTTTGTTGACCGATTAATCCCGCCAAGGCCGATTAATCCCGCCAAACCCGATTAATCCTAAATTACCGATTAATGCCCTAATCCTCGACGGTTGGAGAATGTCAAGCGATTAATCCACGATTAATCGCCGATTAATCCCGATTTCTACAACCATGATATATATATATATATATATATATATATATATATATATATATATATATATATATATATATATATAATACCGAAACAAAATATAGTTTTAGATGAATACAAACACATCAAAAAACATTATAACATTTACCATATGTTTTTTTATTTAGAGAAAACTAAATAGATTTGAAAAAAATCACCAAAGTTTATTATGCAAATAGTTATTTTTCATGTATTTTTATTCGGTTTAACCAGTTCAACCGGTTTATTTTGACCGGTTCAATCGGTTTATTTTGACAGGTTCAACCGGGTTTTCCTAAAAACCGGCCGGTTCAATCCGGTTCAGAAATCGACATAAAACCAGTGATAGTTGAACCGTTCTCTCCTCCGGTTTCCGATCCAACCGATTCGACCGGCCGGTTCAAACCAGTTTTTAAAACATCGGGAATAAGGAGGAGGTGAACTTTTTTTAAGGAGTAATCTGTGAGTTATTAGGAGGAATAAGGAGGAGGTGAACTTTTTTTAGTTTTTAGAGGTGAACTTTTTTTTAGGAGTAATTTGTGTGTATTGATCTTTTCCCGTATCAATACACACAAATTGCAAATTGGCTTTGTATATTTATGCATGGCGCGAATATGTTCCTTAACGTATATACTCTTTACAATTAAAATCGAATTCACCCACCATCCTCCTCTTCTCTCCGACGTATATGGCGAATCCGGTTGCCGTCGTGAGCCCTCACTTCCTGGCTCCGCATCCGGTAGATCTAACCATCGTCAGGAAACTGCTGTCTCTCTCCGACGGAAACTTCGCCGTCACCGACGCAAACGGTAACGTTATGTTCAAAGTTAAAGGCAAACATTTAAGTCTTCGCGATCGCCGTGTTTTGCTCGATGCTGCTGGTAATCCGATCCTATCGTTCCAGAAAAAGGTTATGATCTCTCATCTCTTTGTTTCCCCTCTTTGAACTTTTCTGATCCTTTTATCTGATTCGAGTATTACTTCAACCCTAATAGCCAAAATCGGACATTAATTTCCAACAGGAGCTAGTATTAGTTCAGGAGTATAAGATAATCTAAATACCTTGATTGTTATGAGGCGATCAATGATCGGAATAGCAGATTTGGGGAACCTTTAAAGCTGTTTGACCTGAACCGTTATCAATAAAATATATTACGTAATACAAATCTACTCACATTTACATGAATTGAGTTGGAATCGCTACCTCTGTTATTTCGCAGATGAATTATCATCATTTGTGTTCTTTGAAATGTTACAAAGGGTAACTAACTAAATCAATGTTAATTCTGTTGTTGGTGTTATGAACAGCTGCTAGGTGTTCACAATAGATGGGTGGTGTTTAGGGGAGATAGCTCAGACGCAAAAGACATCATCTTTACTGCAAAACAATCTTCTTTGATCCAATTCAAGACTTCCCTTGATGTGTTCTTGGGGTTTAAGGAAAAGGAAAATGTCTGTGACTACAAAGTCAAAGGCAGCTGGTTTGACCGATCATGCACCATTTATGCTGGTGAAACCACCACCATTGTTGCTCAGGTAAACCCTATTTTCATCTTGACACAAAATGTTCATGATTCATGAAGATCCTTGAGGGGGGCATGGGTAATTAAGCATAAGTAGTGGGTTATAAATGTATTATTAAGACTTTAACACATGGTTACAAAAATGGTGAAATGCAGATGCACAAGAAGCACACTGTCCAAAGCATAGCACTGGGGAAAGATACGTTTTATGTGACTGTGTATCCAAATGTCGACTACGCCTTCATTGTTGCACTTGTTGTCATCCTCCATGAAATCAACGAAGAGAAGAATGATACTGACTAAATTTGTTCATAGTGTACATGGATAAACAATCACTCTGTAATTTCATGTTTTTGTATCATATGTATACCCACTTTTGTTAATGATATCCCTAATTTGAATCTAAGAATTCGACTTTGATTCATGGTTTTTGGTTTACTCAAGTGTGTTATAATTTTATTCAAATGTTTTAGCCCCTAAAGTCTTCAATTTGTAAATTTCCCCATGATTAAAAATTTGAACTTGGGGTTAATCACTAAAATGACTAAAATGGGAGGTGTTGTATCATCAAATTACCATCTTTTAACATTTATCATAAAATAACAACGCATTTTGTTAAAAGGACTTTGTTACTTGCTAATTAGGAAACGGGTTATCCCCTCTCTAAATTTTTTTGCTTGATGTTTAGTGACGTTGATTCACCACTTCATGAAATAAAATTCTTCTAAAATTTTGTAGTGTGCAAGCTTTTTTGTGAACGATATTTTCAAGAAAATGACATCAAATCAAGTAATATTTTTTGGATACCGGTAAAATAAGTTACGTTTTTGGTAGATACCGGGCCAATCTCATCATGTGTTGAAAGGGAATGAAAAACAAACAAACAAACAGTTGTTTAATAAATTCATTTATTGGTTATTAAAGAAAGATTAGTTGCAAGTGATTTGAATGAATCCTTGTTATCTCGTTTAGGTTATAGGATTGTATTCTCCAAACTAGTGATTTTAACCTTTTGAAATTACATATGGATTTGATGATTTTTTTCTTAAAGTCAATCATCTTATGAAAACTAAAAGCTTGTTTGGTTTATGATTTTGATTAAGGGAGATTTTAAGAGATTATTTAATTTGCTTAAACTCGTGAAGAATCTAAGTTGTTCAAACTTTTAAACAACTATAGTCAAACTAGAACAAATCAAAACAGTTACACCATAAGCCATAATGTTAAATTAACTGTTGGTCTTGCAATTGAAACCCAATTGTGAATCTCTCTCTCATTTCACAAATTATACTAGTCATGCTGGGAATAGAACTCAAACAAATAAACCACCTTTTTTTTATTTTAATATGATCTAGTGTCTTTGATATGATCATCTCTAATCACTATTACACATACATACATACATACATACATACACACATACATACATACATACATATGTACGTACATACATAAATACATACATACATACATACATACATACATACATACATGCATGCATGCATACATACATGCATGCATGCATACAAACATACATACATACATACATACATACATACATACATACATTTTATAACGCCCACAACTTTGTGCTATACATTAAAGATATAATAAGTAATAATTATAATTTAAATCCTCGAATAGGGTAATCATTAGTTGTACGTGTTGCAGACTAATATATTACAAGCCTTTTAGTACATTTATTGATGAGAGATAAAATAGCATTTTTCATAGGAGATTATTTAAGATAAATAAGCTTGAGGAAAGTCGTAGTAATCGAAAAAGTGAACTCATGCATATAAAGAATGCATACATCTGACTTCGTATGAGGAAATTATGATTTTTCGAAGCATCAGTACAATTGTGTACGACACAGAAACCGAAATTAAAATCGGTTGATTTTTAGGCAAAACAATCTAAACGAGAGTTGAAGATCCCGTGAATAGGAATCGGTCGATATAATGACAGTCGAGAACAGATATCGTATGAAAGAATTATGATTTTTATACAGAATTTAACAGACTAAGCCCTCTAAAAATATACATTAAAAATAAATTGAGAATTAACTAACGGAGTCTAAATGAAACTTATAGTACTCGTCGATAGTTATGCGTAGATATAAAGAACGTTGAAAACATAGTTTGTATGATAAAGATACGATTTTCCAAAGTTTTAGAAAAGCATTGAGCAGGGCGTGACGCACGCTTCTAGAAGGTGGGACGTGGACCACCCAAACAGCGCTGCATGTAGCATTTCTAGAGAAGGTAGTGCCGACCAAGGGCACGACATTCCCTTATCTAGGCGTGACGTGCGTCGTGAAAATCCTACCTATAAATAGATCCAACCCCCTCATTTTTCTTCACACCTAAAATCTTTCTCTCTGAATTTCACTGAGAAATAAGTCCGAAAATTCTTAGTAATTAGGATATTTTGGCGAAGCTCTGAGGATCCGGCAAATAGAAGCTATCGGGTCGAAGTTCTGACAATGTAATTTCTCGGATTTCGCTAAGAAATTTATGTAAGTTAAGCTACACTTACTATGCTTCAAGTGTAACTTATATTTATATTCATAGTCGTTATTTTGAATCTATAAATTATATTTATCAGTTATTCCATTCATAATATTGATTGATCTACTTACGGGAATGATGTCTAGGCTAGATTTAGTGAGGTGTTTAAAGTGGGATTTCCAAACAGTATACTATGTATACCAAACATAGCCTATATTCAGTATGATCTTACCTGGTTGTTCCTTACTTGATAGATGTTGATGTGGACATTGGGATTATTGAGTAATCTATATTATCGTTATTATAGTCACAAGATATATAATACTAAGACTTAGTGGCATTAATATCTAGGTCTTTCGAAAAGAAAAGTTAAGGTGTTAGTCGAAACGTTGACCTAATCACAACTCATCCACTTTAACAAGTTAGTTAATAGTTATTTTTATCTTACACATAGATATGAAGTATCTAACTGCTTAGATGTCATGTGTCTATTATCTATGTACTTGCTCTCAATGTCTTACTTGGTTAAATAATATTTTTGATAAAGTATTGAGTTATTTATTTTATCATATCTTAAAGTATATTGGGTAGTGAAGGGTTATGGAAAGTAAAATATGATGTGAGGTCGTGACCAACACGGTGCTAGTGTATTGCTAAGGATTAGTCATCTAGTAGGGAATAGAGAGTGACCACAGATTATTCTAGACAAGTCTGGTGAAACATTGACAGACTTGCAACCTGCATGTGTTTATAATCCAGACATGGGCAAGTTTACAACCTGTAGATGTAAACGAACGATAAACGGGCAGGTCCTCGACCTGTAGGTGATAAACGAACCACATATGGGCAACTCTACGACCTATAGGTGTTAATGAATTGTACATTTCATGTGTGTGCTCTATTCACCCAATGGGTGCCTTATTAACATATATTGTAAAGGAATCCCCGATGCAATATTGTCTACTCAGAGATCCTTTAGGATAGGACCCTTAAGAGCATCATTTTAGGATCCCTAAGTGAGTAAATGGAAATGGGTCATTTGGGTTAATTGTTTGGTGTTAAATATAAATTTAAAATTATTTCAAATTATATTATTGTGGGTTCAAAACTGTATATACTCACCAGGCTCCCAAGTCTGACCCACTCTTTTTCTTTATATCACAAATATAGGTACGAAGGTACTAGGATAATGATGTTTGAATCTACCGACATGTTTGAGGAGTTTGGGCCATTAGTATAAGGAGTTTTTGTAAGGCCTATAATGACTTGTTGATCGGTCTATATTTATAACATAATAAATTGTCATAAATCTGTTGAATTGATGTATAATTGTCCAAGAATGGCACTACTTTGATGAGTTGTTGAACTTTATATGCAGGTCATTATATACGACTAAAAGTGGGCGGAACCCGTAAGAAAAATGAGCAAAATGAACTAACAAGCATGGGAGACGAATTGCTAAAAGAATGAAGAAAAAATTATGCTGAGAAATTTGACCACTCTTTAATTTTTTGATCATATCTCAAGATCTAGAGCTCCGATTGATATGAATGAAGAAGTTCTAGAAACTAGACAAAATTTCCTACAACTTTCATGTTTTGCGTTTTTACTGATTCTACCGTTTTCATCACCAAAAAGGGGCAACAAATATGAGGGACGTCCTAGAACGCGTCTAAGACGCCCCCAAGGACGCCTACCCGTTTTAGGCCATTTTCAAGTGCAAATCAAGGACGACAGAAGGCATGTAAAACGCCACGAAGGACGTCCAGACGTCCTACATGACGTCTAAGATGCCCGCTATGACGTCGACGCAGAAAACAGCTCCGAAAATCAGTTTTTCAGCACCTATTTAAAGGAGATTTAACCCTAATCGAAAGAGGACTTCTCCCCTGCGATTTTCCCCAGTTTTGGAGGGTTCCAAACACGTTCAAAGATTTTCAAAACGCGTTATTGATCATCAATTTCTGAATCCGAGGCTACGAATCACCAAGTTCATCATCAAGCAACGTTTGAAGATCATTCAACCGGTGAATCGTCATCAATTCCATCAAACTCCAGATTTGATTACTTTTTCTCCAAGGTTTCATCGTTCCATGATTGATTGATCATTAGACTTTATTATTTTTATGATTTCAAGTTTGTTTATGAATTTTAGTATGAATTCTATTGTTTTTATTCAATTTGTGTGCTTTTTGATTGTTACGGAAGACTAAACCACCTAGGTTACTTCCGGACGTTGTAAGATGTTAGGATGAACACGATTTGATTATTACTTTTATTCCAATCAATTTCAATCATTGTTCTATTCTTCAAGTTTTAATTTTTATTTACAATAATTGGAGTTGGGTTTTCTTATTGTGTGATATTGCAACTAAGATAGTGTATTGTTAATTCACTAATCATTCCGAATTCAAGTAGTTTACGAATTAAGATGGCTAGTAGAATCCACATACATTATTCTGAACTTGTAGTATTAAATGCTCAACATTGTAATATGTAATCGTAAGACACATTATCGCCAAACCATTAGTTGTTCCTAATCTAGTTAGACACAGGAAGTAAGACAATTAGTTGGATCAACATTTTGTGTGCCCATAATTATATATTGAATGTGAGTCAACCTTAATTATGTCTAGGTAACTAAATTGGAATTTAAGGGAAGAAAACATGTTTGTCCACCCATCTGAACAACTGAACCGGAAGTACCTTGTTTTCTCATTCATAGTATTTGTTTTAACAACCTTTTGCAACATAAAGTTTCTAGTTGTTTAGTTTATTTTAGTTTAATTTGAA